CCTACCAGACCCCACTCCCCTCCCAGAGCTGGGGAGCGACCCCAGGAGTCCTGGCTCCCAGCCCCCCCTGCTCTAACCTACCAGACCCCACTCCCCTCCCAGAGCTGGGGAGAGAACCCAGGAGTCCTGGCTCCCAGCCCCCCCTGCTCTAACCTACCAGACCCCACTCCCCTCCCAGAGCTGGGGAGAGAACCCAGGAGTCCTGGCTCCCAGCCCCCCCCTCCCCACTCCCTACCCAGAGAACCCCAGTGTCCTGGCCCCGTCCCTACCGGCGAGGTTGAAGGTGACCTGCAGGCCGTTCACCTCACACTTGACCCGTTTTTTCTTCTTCCTGGCCCCCTGGTCGCTCGTGTTCCAGCAGGCCTGGAGCAGCGCCGCCCGCGAGCCCGAGAAGACGAGGTGCCGGCCCTGCCCGTCGGTGTCCTGCGCCCGCTGCCCGTCGACCCGCCATGTCACCGCCGGCAGCGCCTGCCGGTCCAAGATCGCGCAGGAGAACTGGTGGCAGGTCATGTTGGTGTGGCCGGTCGTCAGCGCCATCTGGGTCCCTGCAGGGACAGTTAGGCAATGGGGTGGGGAATGGGGCAGGGGCCTGTCCCCTCTGGGGGGCGCCGGCTCCCATCCGGCCCCAGGACGGGGACTGGCTGGCTCAGGGGGGTGGGAATGGGGCAGGGGCCTGTCCCCTCTAGGGGGTGCCGGCTCCCATCCGGCCCCAGGACGGGGACTGGCTGGCTCAGGGGGGTGGGAATGGGGCACAGGGCCTATCCCCTCTAGGGGGCGCCAGCCGCGACCCACCTGTGACAACATTCAGGTGGTAGGTGTTGCGGGTGGCTCCCTGCACCGAACACCAGTAGGTCCCCGTGTCCCCGTCCTCGGCCCCCCGCAGGTACAGGGAGTGGTTGCGGAACACGGAGAGCCGCTCCCTGGCCTCCGCCTCCTTCTGGGCCTGACCCGCCGCGCCCCGGAATAATGGCACCGACGAGGACCCAGGAACACCAGCATTGTAGGACCACGTCACCTCTTCCGTGCCCGGGAGAGACTCGACCAGGCCGCAAGGGAGCTCCCGGTCCTGCCCCTTCTGGACGTAGGCATCTGCGGGGAGGGGGATTCACAGGGGTTAGATTTCCTGTCACTGAGATGCCACTGACTCTGGGGTGGGGCAGCTATTTACACAGGGACCCCTCACCGGGCGCTGAGATGCAGCCACCTCTGGGGTGGGGCGGCTGTTTATACAGGGACCCCTCTCCCGGCCCTGTGATGCAGTCTGGGGTGGCCAATAGAAAGCAGGTTTTTACCTTCCTCTCTGGTGAGTTGCAGCTGGAGAAGGAGTAAGATCCAGATGGGGGTCATGATGCCCCGAATGCCGGGGTCCTTCTGTGGGGCACCACCTTGGCACTCTATCTCCAAGACCCAAGGAGGAAGAGACCGAAATAGAGCCGGACGTAGCTGTCTCCGGAGTGACTTGGGGGTTTGGTGGCCGGCTTATCAGGGACGCACAGCAGCAGCGTAGGAATGGGAAGGGGGCGTGAGAGAGAGGGAAAGGGGAGTGGTGTGATCCACCCCAGAGATGGCTGCATCTCAGCGCCGGGGGAGAGAATCCCTGTATAAACAGCTGCCCCACCCCAGAGACGGTTGCACGTCAGCGCGGCAAAACGTCCACCGTGAACCCTCTTTGGAGCTAGAAAATTGGTGTGACTTCAATATGGTGCCACCGATATGGCTGCCATGTTCCGGAGATTTCCGCCTGCCGACACCAAAATGGCCACCACATCCTGAACCCAAAGCTATTGAGTGGGCATGAGCCCAACAGAGCAACACCAACATGGCCACCAGATCTCAAGAGACGCCAACCTGGCTTCGCTCCAATATGGTGACATCAACATGGCCGCCCACATCCCCACCGAAGAGATGCTGAGTTGGCAGGAGACCCATAACGGCCAACGCATCCCAGAGAAACTAACTTGGCGTAACCCCAATATGGCGATACCAACATGGCCGACACATCCCAGAGACGCCATCTTGGCCTAACTCCAATACGATGGCTCCTAAAGGGCCAGCACCTCCCAGAGACGCCATCTTGGCATAGCTCCAGTGTGGCAATACCAAGATGGCCGCCACATCATCGGCTCAGAGACGCCAAATTGGCATGAGACCAATGGCCGACACATCCCAAAGACGCCATCTTGGTATAGCTCCAACATGGCGATACCAACATGGCCGCCGCATCCCCCAACTCAGAGCCGCCAAGTTGGCATGAGACCAATACAGCCGCTCTAAAATGGCCACTGTGTCCCCACCCCAGCGGCCAGTTGACGCCACCTCCAAAACGGCTGCCAGGCCCCCATCCAGTTGGCGTGACCCCTGACCCCCCATCCCCCTATGCTGGCACCAAAATGGCTGCCCAGAGTTGGCATTACTCCCAACATGGCCGCCGCGTCCCCACCCTGGAAGTGCCAGGCTGGTGCGACCCAGGCCGTAGTCGTGGCAACACCCCCTTTCGTCCCCCACCACAGGACTAAATTTGAGGGGGAGAAGGAAGGGGGAAATGGACGCCTGTCCCTTTAAGAGCGGGGGGAGGGGGGACGAGAAAACGGCCGCTTGTCCCTTTAAGATCCGTCTCCCAGAGGGAAGCGTTCTGAAATCCCCTGGTTAAGTCTGTCCGCCGCGGGCTCCTGTAGAGAATCCGGAAGTGGAGTTAATCCCCCCCGCCCCCTCGTCCACCCGGCCCCCGGCTTTGGTCCGGGCCAAGATGGCGAAGCTGCTGAGCTGTGTGCTGGGGCCGCGGCTCTACCGGGTCTATCGGGACCGGGGGCCGGCCAGGCCCTCCCGAGACGGGGATGAGGCAGCCGAGGGGGCCCAGGATGGTTCTTGGGTGAGTCCGCCTCCTCTCCCCGCGGGAGACAATGGTATCGCCCGGGCTCCCGTTATCTCTATGGGGGCTTGGGAAAGACCATGGCGGGGAAAGGGGGCAGCTCCCCATTGTCCATCATGGAATGTTCTGAGCCCCAGGATCTTGATATCCCCTCTGGGCGATACCATAATGGAACATGAGGGGGGGTTGGTCTTCTGGGCTGCTCCCCGTTATCCAGCATGGTATCCCCAGGGGATTGGTACCCCTCCCTTGGGAGAGACCATTGTAGCACAAGGAGCGGGGTAAGCTGAATCCCTTTCCTTTCCATTCTGCAATATGGTATTGACAGGCACCCCCTTTTGGGGGAGACCATTGTAGGAAATTGGGGGGGTCACAAAGAGTTGGACCTTCCCCCCCCATTATCCAATGGTATCGTCCAAACCCCGTGGCTATTGATACTCCCTTGGAAAAACCATTGTAGGACATGGGGGGGTGCCACGCTCTTTCACTTGATATGGTAGCTGTTAGCCTTTGAGGTAATGATGTTTTCACCCACTCAGGAGAGACCAGTCAGTAGGAAGATGGGTGTACATGGCCTCTCCTAGGCTCTAGTGTATTGATATCCCAACGGGTCAGTCCACTGTGTATGGTACTTGAAGAAATCCAGTTCCCCCCATTATCCAGCATGGTATCTTCCAGACCTTAGGGTATTAATATCCACCTGGGACAGACTATTATAGGAAATGGGGGGAGGAGAGTACCAAGGGGGCATCTTACCCCTTTCTGCTATCTGATATCTCCCAGCCCCCCAAACATAAATATCCCCCTTACCTTGACTCCCATTCTCACCCTGTTGCCATGACACCATCCCCCAGCAGTTGGCGTGACTCCTGCGTGTGGCCTTGCTCAAAATGGCCACCATGATGCCATCCCCCAGAGGTGCCAGGTTGGCGTGACTCCCGTGTGATGTAAAAAAAATGGCTGCCATGGCCCCATCCCTGAGGCCCACGTTGGCCTGACTGCAAAACGCTGTCACCAAAATGGCTGCTGTGTGTCCACCGCAGAGGCACGAGGTTGGCCCAGTTCCAGCATGGCGTCACCAAAATGGCTGACACACCCCCACCGTGCCAGGTTGGCGTTACTCCAAAATGGCTACTGCTGCTGCTTCCCCCTCCCTGAGCCGCCATGTTGGCGTGCCTCCAGTATGGCCGCCGCCTTGTCGCTCAGGAGGCATTGGGTTGGCATGACCCCCACCCCCATGTGACCTCACCAAAATGGTCAACATGTCCTTCGATGGGTGGTCCAGGTTGGCGTGGTGTTGCTGCCTCTCTCGCCCCCATGGGTCCCACATTGACTGATTCCAGCCCTGTGGTACATGTCCCCTCTCCCAACCCGTAACACCCTGTTGGCTCCTTGGTGGCAGGATGGGGATCTGTCTGGGTTTTCCCCCATCTAACTTGGAGGCTTAACTCCCAGTTTCCCCCATGCCCTGCCGGTCACCCGAACCCCCAGGGGCTCAAAGGGACCCCCAGGGTGCTCGAAATGATGTGGGGTCTCTCCCACCAGGAGTCGTACTACCAGCCGCGGACGCTGGAGAAACATGCTGACAGCATCCTGGCCTTGGTGAGTCCCCCTGCGCCTTCGGGGCTGGGTCATTCAGTGGAACCCAGGCGTCCTGGCTCCCAGCCCCCGCGGTAACAACTAGACCCCACTCCCTGCACTCCCCACCCCTCGGGTCCCTCTCACTCCTCCATAACCTGGCCCAGAGGGAAGCAATGACTCACTTCGTGCAGCGAAAACATGTTTGTCTCTAATCCCGTCCCACGGGTCCTGGCTGGGTTAGATACTCCAGCCCTGCGGCTGCCTGCAGTCCCTGCCCTGAGGTGAGCCCCAACCCCCGCTCCCTGCAACAACTTGGATAGAACCCAGGAGTCCTGGCTCCCAGCCCCCCCACTCTAACCACTACACCCCACACTCCTGTCGGAGCTGGGGATAGAACCCAGGTATCCTGGGGGTGGGTTTTGTTGGCTGTATCATCCTACTGACCCTCTCTTCTGTTCCTTGCAGGCGTCAGTGCTCTGGTCTATTTCCTATTACACTTCCCCCCTGGCTATGTTCTACTTGTACCGAAAAGGTAGGGGGTGCTGCGCTGCCGGGTGTGGGGCTGGCGGGGCACTCTCCCCGGCTGTCAGGGCTGGCCCCAGGGCAGTGCTAGGGGGTGCTGTGCTGCTGGGAACCGGGCTGGGGGTTTCAGCTGGGGGGGCTCTCCTCTGGCCCTTGCTCAATTCCCAATTGTGCCTGCCTTAAACATCCCACCCTGCAGTTATCTTCATAGTTGTGATTTCCCCTTCACTTCCTGTCCCAAAATGGAGTGATGTCATTGGGCTACTGCCAGACCCCGCCCCATAGCTGGCTGCATCTCACGCCAAGTGAGCCATCTCAGTGCAGCGTTACATGCGGCTGTTCCCCAGCTGCCCCACCCCAGAGGTGGTTGCATCCCAGTGCTGGGCAAGCCGTCCCTGTGCAGTGTTATGTGCAGTCATTCCCCAGCTGCATCACTCCAGGCTGATTTCCTCCCTGGGGGCCCAGCTTAAGTGCCCACTGAACCCTGGCTCTCAACCCCCCTGCAGGATACCTGACCATGTCGAAGGTGGTTCCTTTCTCGCACTACGCTGGGACCATGCTGCTCCTTTTGGCCGGGGTCGCCTGCCTGAGAGGTGAGGAGTGGGGGCTGGTGGTTAGAGTGGGGGGAGGGGGCTGTGGGCCAGGACTCCTGGGTTCTCTCCCTGGCTCTGGGAGGGGAGTGGGGTCTAGTGGGTTAGAGCAGGTGGGGGCTGTAGCCTGGACTCCTGGGTTCTCTCCCTGGCTCTGGTAGGGGAGTGGGGTCTAGTGGGTTAGAGCAGGTGGGGGTTGTAGCCTGGACTCCTGGGTTCTCTCCCTGGCTCTGGGAGGGGAGTGGGGGCTAGTGGTTAGATCGGGGGGGTCTGGGAGCCAGGATTCCTGGATATGCCAGACGTCTCTAATTCCGTGTCTCTGTTGCAGGCATCGGGCGCTGGACCAACCCCCAGTACATCCAGTTCATCACCATCCTGGAAGATAGCCACCGCCTCGGCACCCCAGAAATCAAGGTGAAGGGGGTGGGGGGGGACCCCGACCTCTCCCTACGACCGGGGGGAAACAATGCAGCCCTCCCCCCAATGTCTCCCATGATGCTCAGGGGCCAGCCCTGCCTATATCTCC